CTGAAGCTGAATCTAATCAAACTACCTTGAAAGAACAGAGGATAGAGGAACATGGCTACAGGTGAAACCACAGGATGCAAATCCCAAATATGTGGTTTCCCTGCAAAACAAATGACCCAGTTGCTTCAACAAATAAATGGTGTTAAAAGAAGGGCGCAGGAACTATTATAGATTAACAGAGAGTTAAGAGTCATATCAACCAAATTCAGTTTGTGGACCTTGCTTGAAAACTGATCTAAACAATATGAAAAATGACATTTTTGGTGAAAATCAAGGAAATCTGAACAGTGACTGGGCATTAGATAAGATTAGGTTTTTAAATGATATTATGGTTATGTTAAAGAATCTTTTATTATGTACTAGGGATGCATACTGAAGTGATGTTATGTTTGAGGAGGAAAAACAAGAGGCAAGGAATAGATGAAACAAGAATGTTAATAAATGTTAGTAATTGTTGAAGCCTGGTGACAGGTAGGAAAGGGGTTGTAAGGGGTGGGGGGACGGCTTCTGTGGGATCCCAACACCAGTGGCTTCTCCTCGCCTCCCTAAACTGAGGTTTCTGCTCTGGTCAGCTCAGCTGAGAGCTTGAAACCTTTCTTTAAATATTACCTCAAAAGTCTTACTTTACATGACATTAAACAATGTTCATATCATATCCCTGGCCACTCTAAAGTGAAAACACAGGCAGAGTTAACTAATTCATAGATTTTAATAACCGCTGCTTTCTACGCAAAAAGGAAGACTGGCTTTAAAAATACACAAAGGCATCTGGCAGCTGCTCTAAGAACACTAAAATTTCAGACTACTCACTACATGTTCATACACGCAGCTCTGGATTGATACAACAAAAAATCAGATGCCAAAAATTCCGTATGGCAACATCTGAAGAAGCAACATAGACAGTTAGAACTAGAAAGAAGGAAATAGAATGCTGGCATCCAACACATGCACTGACTCATGCTTTGTCTAAACGAGTTTGAACTTGGGGGAAGTGTTAAACCACAGAGATAGGAATCAGAGTGAGGCAAGCTATAAAGCTGCGGTAGGAGAGCAAGCTGATTCACGCCACCAGTCATGCCAATAAAACAGCCGCCCGCCAATTTAACAGAACACCACCAGTGCACACGTACCCAGAGCTGGCAAACAACTCCGGTGTGAAACAACAGGAGGTTACCTTGCCAATCAGTGATGAGAGAGAAGAGGCCTTTTTTTTTAACTTTTAGTTTTAAGGCTTTTTTGGTTTTTATTTGAATTTTTTTTTTTTTTTTTTTTTTGAAACTGACAGGCTACCCAAAGATAAATGCCTGCTTATTAGTCCAACAGTAATTCCAGGAAGATGCACTGTGAATTACCAGATTAAGTGGGTTAGTGAGTGGACACACATAGGTGAAAAGCAAAGGGAAGTACGTCATAAACATGCACTTTGTTGACTGCTGACTGAACAAGGTTAAGCTATATAGCATCCAAGCTCCATTTACTGGGAAGCCTTTACTGCAGTACAGTGTGCATGTACGTCCAAAGAAGATGTCTTTAAATACATGATTTAGCTGATATTTCAACAATTAAGGTTTTTACATCTTAGAGAACAGAAACAAGAACACAGAGGACTTATTTTTTTCTTCAGTCATGTATGGTTTGAGAATTTAAAGGCTCACAATTCACCTAACTTTAAAATCCCACGGGCATTTTCAAATTCAGTTTAGCTCACAGGTTAAATTTTAAGGAGGGAAATGTGTTCCAGAACTACGGGAAAATGAGCTGATGAAACTACAGAGGAAATGCTTTCTGACATTCACCATTCTGTTTTTGCCCAAGACCATCTTTTCTTTTTATTTTTCAAGTCAAAAATATAAATCTTATTACATTATACTTTATACATACCCTTTCAATAACATGAACAAAATATTCTGTTGGGTGCAGATGTATTCAACAGTAGGAGTTCTTGTACCAATTTGTCTTCTGAGAATATTGTTGAAAATCTGAGCCACGTCTTTCTTGCCCTATTAAGGAAGACAAAAATATCAAAATGCCTGACTAAATGCCAAAACGCCCTAAATAAACTCAAACCTAGGTACTGTATATTTATAATTATGACTGAATATCTGACTTTAAAATGTTCCTAGACATTAAATTTTCTTATTTTATTTCTTCCTTCGTAATTTCAAATTCTAAGTTTTAATAGTGAATTGTTTTTTTAAAGATTTTTTTGATGTGGACCATTTTTTTAAAAGTCTTTATTGAATTTGTCACAATATTGCTTCTGTTTTATGTTTTGTTTCTTTGGCCTTGAGGCATATGGGATCTTAGCTCCCCGACCAGGGATCGAACCCGCACCCCCTGCACTAGAAGGTGAAGTCATAACCACTGGACCACCAGGGAAGTCCCTAAGTTTTAATAGTAAAGTATTTTTGACATGAATAATGTGTTGACAAAGTGAAATCTTACTATATATAATTTCAATGATTTCTAACTCTCAGAATCATGCTGACTCAGATATGAAAAACAAAACCTTGCTATATGCTTACATTGTTCAGGGATCTGACTCCCACCCAAGCAGCTTCAAATAGGATGCTTGTATTGTAAACAATACATATAGCTTCCTTTTATAGTGATGGAAGGAGGAGAAACTGTAGTTAGTGTAATAAAAATGAAAGAATTCTGTAAGAAGTTGAGCTTTAATGGCAAGTAGACATATCCTCCTACTAAACTAGGTGTAATTGGGAAAAACTTTATATATAGATAATTAAGGTACTGAGTATCACATGATGCAACAGTTCAGAGATCAGAGTTACACCACGGTACTTCACTAAACAAAATAGGTAGATGTTAACACAATACAGTGAAACTTATAATCAGAAAGCTGCACAAGAAAGTAACAAATGCAGAAGTAGACCCCAAGAGATGTTTCAGAACTGCCACTTTATATAAGGCTGACAAGTCTGCAGGAGAGTGAGTGAAACGCTAGCTTTCCAGCACTAGAGATCACCCTGGGGCCTGTGCTAGGTCAGGAGTAGTAATGGCAATCTCGAAGAACCAGTCTCAAGGGCACACATTTCTTTTAAATTAAATTTATGTCTCTAAAGTCCCAAATGAATATTAAGTTCAAGGTCCAGGTTGGGGACTGGGGTGGGAAGACGAAGGAGAAGGAACTGGATGGTCCAGTGCACTCCCACCTTTGCAGTGGAGATAAAAATCCTTGTTGTTGGAATTTGACACTCTATTAAAGATATATGAAACCAGCTATATAAATGGAAATATCATAGTTCTGTCTGTTCTAAAAGATAGAAATAAATTTTTATTCTCTTTTATTATCTATTGATAATACATTCAAGTAACCTATGAACCACATCTTCCCCACCCTTCTCTAAAACTGAATCTAGCTACAGGTGTCTTGTCATTTTCTCCCCTGGTTTTCCAAGTACCTGAATAGACATACAATCCCTCAGGACGATAAACACTGGGGCTTAAACAAAGCACAGCCATAATGAAGAGTCAAAGAGGAGACTGCTCATGACCATGCCAGAGTCCTTCATTACACACTTCTCAGACTAGTTTATTCAGACTGGTATCAAGGACCATTTTTCTCACTAATAAATGCACTAAATATCCAACATGGGATGATCTGGCTGTATAAGCCTGGGCACCAATCTCAAATGCCTACCAGGGACGAGCAGGAAATGAAAATGAGCGCAGCAGGCCGAGGTAGAAAAAACAAGCTGTGCCGTCTGTGGCACACCCAAGTGTGGATGCCAACGTCATGGGCTGAGGGGCCACACAAGACTACAAGGCCCAATGTTGCCAAATTTTCCAAGGGAAGCAAGAAATTCAAAATTGTGTATAAAATCTCCTGCTGTTTTAATGTTATCCTCATTTAAATGTTTAAAAGCAGTGCCAAGCAAACAAAACACATATAATCTCAACTGTAGTGCGTTCTCAGCAGGTTAAAAACAAACAAACAAACAAAACCTAGATGTTCTCTAAGATCTCAGCAACCTCAAAAATTCTAACACTCTATGGTCTTCTTTAGATTGTTTATTCCTTGAGAGCCAAGAACCAGTGAATTATGTAAACCAGCAGCTGTTTATTAAATACAGCCTAAATGAAAGGGCATAACAAATACCTAAAAAACTTCATATACGATGTAGTGAAAGAGGGTGAAAAAACCTGGCCTAAGTCCGAGATACCCTTGAGTTCCTGAGTTGGCCCCGCTAATTAGACAGGCAGCCCGGGTATGCTTACAGGTCAGTACCCCTGAGCCAAGAGTCCAGCAGGAACCTTAAAATGTTTCAGAGGAGAGAACATACGGAAAATGACTACGAATAGTTAGTGTTTTTGAAAAATAAAAAACTGATTTCTTACCTCAAAGTCAATGAGCTGTAAATCAGCTACTAGGGTGCTAAGGAGCCCACTATTATACAGTTCTTGAGCGAGCTGTGCCACCGCTTCTGTCTGTGGCTCTTTTTCATTTGTGCCATACAGAATTTCTTTCATGGCAACCAGATTTTTGGAAACTTCTTCTGTAGCCTGATTTTGGGGGAGAGGAGAAAATGCATTTTCACAAACATATATAACATACCTACACTTGCTAAATACCTTCCCTATATATTACATACTCCCAGACCCCTGTACAAGACATAAAGGTGGGCAAGCCCCATCCTGGCCCTCAGGAGTCAAAAACTGCATGTGTGTGCACAGGTGGGGACTGACATATGTGCTCGACAGGGAAGGCCAGCAGTGTATACTTGAACGCTGAAAACAATGTTGTTGTAGTAGAAACAGAACAGGGAGAAAAAGTTCAGTTCTGCTCAAATGGGAGGGAAACAACATGGAAGAGGCACCTGAGCTGACCATGAGAATGGAGAGACACTGACAAGCAAGAACTGGCTGGGGAGAAGGAGACTGAGGGGAACGAATGGCAGGAACTGGGGATGAGGGGGAGGAAGCAGCACAGGGCCTGTCAGAGAAAAGGTGTGGAGGGAATAAGGGAGTGACAGAAGAAATGAAGCTGAAAGAGGCTTTGAATGCAAAGCTAAAACACTGGCAATAAATAAAAAGTCACTAAAAAGCTTCCACTTCTGGCCAGATGAAAAAACAAGGGTCAGATTTACCTTCCCCCATGAAAAAGACCAAAAATTGGAGGAAAATATTTGAAACAATGAATTTTGAACATTGAACTTCAGGCAGCACAGGAGAGTGGTTCCTGAGAGAAGGGAAACAGACAAAACGAACTTCACAATTGCCCCAGCTTACTGCCTGCCCGGAGAAAATTTCCAGGCCACATGACAGGGAGAGGGAAGCCAGGCAGAACAGGCAATCTCCACGTGAGGAGACAGAGCTGGTAATCTATGGAGGCCAAGGAGACTTGGTACTTTTGCAGGGCAAAGTACCAGAGAGGAGACAGCTACACTGAAGAGAGTGTTAGAGACCTGCAAAGACTCACTTGCTACTCTATCTGAGTACTGGTAAGCACGTGCATGCGAGTAGGTACCCAAGGCCAGGGAACAGAGCCATGGAGCTCACGCAAGGCTCCCATTAACCTGATGGAAAACCTCATACTCACAGGCATAAAGCAGAGCTCTCAAAGGGTTTTGTCTCTGCTGTTATAAAAAATTAGCCCTGGACTAAACTCTGCTCTCCAAAAAGCTTAAAAGCAAGCCTGGAAAGAATCAAAACTGGAAAACACAACCAATAATGAGGAGGAAAAACAGTCAACAGTAACAGCCCTGCAAAGTGACACAGATGGTAGAAATCAAACAAGGACATTAAAAGTTACTATAACTATAGTCAGTACATTCAGGGAAAAAACGAGCATGTTAAGTAAAGGTATGGAAGACGTAAAAAGACCCCACCAAAATCAAACACTTAAAAATAAAAACTAAAATTTCTGAAATAAAAATTACACTGGATGGGATCAATAGCAGAGCAAACAGTGCAGAAGAAATGGTTAGTAAATATGAAGACAGAGCAATGAAAGCTATTCAAAATGAAACGCAATGAGAGGGAGAAAAAAGACAGCACAGCAGTGAGCTACAGGATGACTGTAAGCAGTCTGATACATGTGTAACTGCAGTCTCCAAAGGAGGGGGAAGGACAGACAAAATATGTGAAGACATAATAGCTGAAAAATTTCCAAATTTGATGAAAACTATAATCCCATGGAGCCAAGAAGTTCAAAAAAAATCCCAAGCACAAGAAACAGGAAGAAAACTACGCCAAGCCATAGAATAATCAAATTGCTGAAATTCAGTGAAGAGAAAATCCTAAAAGCAACCAGAGGGGGGAAAAACATTACAGACAAAGAATCAAAAAATAACAGACTTCTTGACAGAAATGATGCAAGTCAAAAGATAGTGGAGGAACATTATTAAAATTCTGGGGGAAAAACAAAACTAAACTGTCATTGTAGAATTCTATACCTAGTAAAAATATTATACAAAAATGAAGGTGAAATAAGAATTTTTAAGACACAGAAAAGCTGGAAGGTTTTGTCACCAGCAGACCTGCACTATAGGAAACGTTTAAGCAAGTCCTACAGGAGGAGATTCAAGATGAAAATCTGTGTATACAGAAAAGAATGAAGAGCACTGGAGACAGAAATGTGGATAAATGGAAAAGATTTTTCCATTATTAAAAAAAAGTCTCTAAAAGACAACTGGCTGTTTAAAGCATAAATCTGTATTTTGGGGTTATGCCATACGTAGAACAAGAATATGTGGCAACAATAGCTCCAAGGGGGGGCAGTGTTAAGGTTTTTATACATGAAGCAGTATAATATTTCTTGAAGACAAACCACAAGTTAAAAGGCATACACTGTAAGTCCTAAAAGAACCACTAAAAAAACCAAAAGAGTTATAGCTAATAAGCCAACAAAGCAGAATACTAAAGATATGTGAAAAACATAAAGGCTATAAAAAGCTAAATGAACGGAAATATTTATGACAGAAATTACTTCAGGGAGATCACTTAGCACAGATTCAGAGGACATAAGCCTTTAATGGTACCTAAAGAATCATCTAGGTCCACGGTATTCCCTTCTACAACCTTCTAAATCTTCTTACCAAATGATCACATTGCTTCACCTTAAATATTTCCAGTGTCCAGTAATGCAGGATTAGCAGACTTCAGAATCAGACAGCTGTTAGAAAATTTCATAGTGAAACAAACATTGCCTCACTATAGTGTCGGCTGGTCCTGGGTCTGCACTGCAGATAAGAAAGTATCTTAACTTCTCTTCCACATAAAGGCTCCTCATTGAAAACAGCTTGCCTGTCTTCCCTAAATAGTCTTCTCCAGAAAAACCTCCTCTCAGCTACTTTAACTATCCTCCTAAGAAAGACAGGATTAATGTTTCAACTCTATCCAGATGGAATGATGCACAAGAAACCAGACCACCATTTCCTGCAAATGTTGCAAATTTAATGTAGCTCAGGGGCTACCTTTAAGAATTTTTGCAATTATATCATATAATTCATTCAAAGCCAGATCTTCGGAATAAACACTGCAATGATGGCTTCAACTCTTCTCACTATTTAATTTAATCTCATTAATAGCCCATCATTCAACACTGTGGAGGTATTTCTGAATTCTGAAGGACATCCAAAATGCCAGCTATTGTATTTGTATCATCTGAAATCTGGTAGGTAAGTATGCCTCCCATGGCCTCAATCATTAACCAAAATGCCAAAAAGGAAGTAACTGAATGGAGCCTAACATTATGCCTTTGAATCACCATGCTCTTTTCAGTAATGATCTATAAATAATCTTTGGGCATGGCTGCTCAGCCACTTACATATACACTTATTTCCAAATGATATTCAAAAGGCTTTTTGTTAAATACTCTGATAAAATAAGAATATACTATTTCCTCCACATTTCCTGAATATAAGGAAATGAAATAAAGTTAATTTGGTATGACCGTTTTACTTAAGTCTATGCTGATTTCTACTGACTACTGCTTTCTTTTCTAAATGCTTACAAAGTATCTTCCTAATAATCCCATTATGAAACCTTATTCAGTGTGAAGGTAAGCAGAACCTTTACCTCTCTGAGTCTGCTGTCACTACCCTATTCTGTTAATGTCTTAGATTTCTGACAGCAGTTTGTTGTCATCCCATATATAAATTTTAAGTACCCCAGAATGTACTTTTTCTGGGCCAAGAGATAAAAATCATTTATCAACAGTAAATGTTCTCTTATAATCTAATTACATGTGTTGCCTTTACAATTTCATTTTATTAATCTCTATTCTTAAGATGATTCTCTTTGACCGGGAAGAATCTGACATTTAGTAGGTTTCCTGAGTATATTATCTGCTGAATTTACTCAGTGACCCTACCACATCATAGACCTTAGCCCCGTCTGCTTCTCTGACTAGATCGAAGTTTTGAGGTTCTTAATAACCCTTCATGTGTCTCAGTTTATACTCTGCTTTGAAATCGTGATATGATTTTAAATCTGAGATCAGACCATACTCTATGCTTTCTGACAGTAAAGGATGAAGAACTGCTCACTATGAACAAAAGATGAAGATCAAAATGCTCACTGTGTTGGGGGGAAGGGGAGTGATAGCTAAAGTATGGGGTTTCTTTTTGAAGAGACAGAATTTTAAAAATTGATTGTGTTGTTTGTGGTTGCACATTATCGGTGAATAAACTACGAACTACTGAACTGTACACTTTAGATGGGTGAACTATATGATATGCAAGCTGTATCTCAAAAAAGCTGTTTTTAAAAAATGGAGGAGAGAAGCAAGGAAATAGAAAGCTACTTATGGTGCTTCTAAGATGAAAGGCACCCTGGATCCACACATAAAGCCCTCTTCTTCCCTTTCAGCAGATGACACTGTCACCTACATTATGAGTGGGGAGGAAAACACCATCGAATTCTCTCCTCTGCTAACCATTATGCTCGCCTACCTATTTTAACCCTCCTTGCTTCTAACCATTATAAAAACCTACCTATATTAACCCTCCTTGCTTCTGGATTCCACTCATCTCCTGCCTTCTCAGGATCTCATCCTGTCTGTTACCTTATCTCCTCATATAGTCGACTCCCCTCTTACTTGATTCCCCCAAACTCAATTTTAAATACGATCTATTAGATTCCCACTAACAAAACTAAACAAGCTCTCCTTTGACTCCATAACCCCCTCCCAGATACTGCCCGCCATAACTAAGCCTCTCAGAACACCTCCCTGTGTCGGTTACAGTCCACATCTCTTTCCTACTCACTCTTCGGCCCAATCCCGTGAGGCTTCTACAGCCAGTACTTTATAGCTTTCAGACAGTCACCAACGACCTGCCTGCCATTAAAGACAATTTCTAGCCTTCATCACGTGTGAGCTCTCGGCAGCATCTGAAGTTGGCTACACCCTGCTTTTAAAACCGCTCCTCCCTGTCCTCTGTGACTTACCAACACCCTACTTTTTTTCTTCCTGTCTCCCTGGTTGCTCCTCTGTCTCCTTTTTGGCTCATCCTCCTGGAGTGGGCCGTTTAAATATTGGGAATTCCTCCAGGCAGAGTACA